TAAAATCTGAAAAAGAATTTTAGGTTTCGAAAAATCGATTTCTTTGCATCATCCATGATCCTGTGCGTTTTCAAGCTAATTTTGAGGGCGGCGCCGAACACAGGTATTCCGCATGCATTCATAGCTAAAAAGACGATCAGCCACACTACCTTCAAAATGGTTTCCCGTGTGCTCTTCTCGCATTGCAGACGCTGGTTTTCAAGTTATAGAATGTTGAAGCAAAAACTCGAACTCGAATTTTCACGAAATTTCAAAGCAAATACAAAATTTCGGAAAAATGCCAACCATTTTTCAAGTACCAATGATACTGTCTGTATTTCAACAAAACCTCTATTCTCCAGCTCCAAGTCTAGAATTATATTTCATTACCAATTTAAGTATAAAGGATAACGGATTCGAAATCTTCAATACCCTCTGCGGCAGTGGCGTACTGAGGGCCCCCCCCCCCCGAGAACGGCTCGCGAAATCTTTGAAAGTTACTTACATGAGTTATAAAAATGTGCAAGTGACCAATTTTAACAATCAAAATAATTTTTGAAATTTTTTTAAAAATTTAAATTAGCTTTATAAAAAAATTTTTTCCGGGTGCGTGACTGACCACGCCCCCTTTTCCAGATTTTAGGGGTTGGAGCCCGCAAAAAATTTGAGAAGCCCCCCTAAAATTTTTTCGGAATGCGTTTTGCCGCCTCCCCCCCACCCCGAGCCGAAATCCTGGGTACGCCACTACTCTGCGGGCATGCTCTGAGCGCATTCTATTTCGTAGTCGAAGAGGCAGGTGAATGCGTGCAGGTTTTTTACGGTGACTTGCGAGGGCCAGCCGATCATAACGTCAGTGCTTTTATCCTCGTAGATCACTCTGGTACCAATTTACAGGCCCCAAAGGGTAGACGGCTTGGCTGGCCCAGGGGCGGGGAATCTGGGTCCGATCTGGTTATAGGGCACCTCATACCACTACGCCACTCGTTCCCCTCATTATCGATTACGTATTGAAATCTTATTTTTTGTCCTTGGAATGTGACTAACGCTTCTGGGAGGATCATCACCCTCATTGTCGACTCTTTCGAGTCTTTTTGCAAAAATTGGCATGGAGAAGGAGCTCTTATGGACCATGTAGGCGCATGATAGAGAATGGTATTCCTACACTACGTGGTCCAGCCCGAGAGGTCTCTTCGACCATGTATCGCATCTCTCCGTTCCCTGGAAACGACTGGCGAAGAGCCGCGTGCACTTGTGCACTTTGGGCAGAACTTCTCTCAAGCGTCGTACATTCGCAGGCAAGCAAGCCAAGGGTTCTCTGGTTTGTAAAGTGCAGACTGCTTGCATTCAGTGGGCAGGTATTTCAGATTAATTGCGCGTGTACAAGTGTGCAATTTTGCAGTTATAGTCTCGCATGTGTATCCTGCATTCGAGCAAAAACTAGTCTAGGGTTAGTAGGCAGAGTTCCAATTTTCAATCAACTCGTTTTCTTGTTATTTAACAGCAACTCGTCTGAATTCGCAATTTTTCGCGATAATCAATTCGCAATTCATTTAAATTCGCGAGCAATTTCAATATAAAATGGATAGGAAGCGTAAAATTAAAATTTTTTTCAAGCTTTGCTTGCCTGCCTTGTTTACGTATAAGGCCCTGAGCTGATTCATCGTTAGTGATATATGCTAACACTCTGACTTGATCAACTCTATTGCAACCCCCTCTCTCAACATATGAGTACGCACGTATGCGGAACTATTGCAAATTTAACAGCTATCTTTTTCGCTCTTGCGCTACTGTCTTTTCTGATAACAGCAGAAGGCCAGGTCAGTGAGCAAACGTCGTTGCAATATGCTAACGACTATTTGTAAACTTCTTGTTTTGAATATTGATATTGTACAAAAGAAACACTATTAATTATTGTGTATTCCATTACAATAGAATGAAATTTGCTCCAAAAAGCAAAGCAGAAGTGAAAAACGTCGAAACGTGCAACTGCTTGTTTTAGTATTTTCAGAACTGACACTGTGGCGAACGCTCAGATAATCACTAAAACTGTTTCAACGCCTCTTCTGTTTTTCGATTAGATTTTTTTGCATTTTCAATCCAGACTTCCAATCTAGGATTACCAGCAGATAGAGCACAAACGCAATGCTTTTTTAAATTTCTTAATTTCAACAAGTATTATTCGCAAGTCGCGACTCTGAAGAAAAAGTTGTGTGTGAGCAGGCAAAGATTTGCATCGAAGCTACTAAGTCACGTGATATTCGATGTTCTATAAGATGTGAATACAAATCTGATTTGATCGAAAATTATTTTTAAAAATCCTGCAAAGCTAGATGATAGGGAGATACGAAAGAGTATTAGAAGGCTCTATCCGATGACTTTCAATCTCTTCAAAAGTCATTAGGTCGCAAAAAATTCCCGATCATTTGCGGAATTTTTTTCAAATCGCTGTAACTTCAACCAGATTGATTCTTTTTTTTTGAAGCTACAAACTTCATTGCAAAGACAATTTTGTCCACAACACATATGTGTCATTTGTCTTGCTGGCCTTTCAGCGCCTCACTGCGGTCCACCAGCATTCGCAAGAAAGAAAAAGTTCGCCGCGAAAAGTGGCCTATTTGTGCAGGATTATCTCAAGCAAAAAAGCACGACGAAAGCTGGAGAGCTCAAATGCTGTAGTTATATAGAAATCTACTGGGGCTGTTATGGAGGCTACTTAAGCCTTTGAGCGACCAAGTGCAAAAAAAGTATTTCCAAAAAGTAAAAATCGATCATTTTTTGCCTTTAAAAATGCACCATTTTTCGAGTACTGCAAAGTTCGTACAATAAGTCCGGACTTATCCGCAGTTGTGACATGAAAAATCAATGAAAAATCGCCCTCTGTGCCGCCAAAAGTCTTGCATATAAGTCCTCCTAAATCCTCTATCAGATAAGTCCGCAGCAGATAAGTTCGCCTATCCTGAGCATGACAAAGCGGATTTATCTGCAGGACTCTTGGCGGCGCGAGGGCGACTTTCGTTGTCAAGAAAGCGGACTTATCTGCAAGGTCTGCTGCGTACTTATCTGATAGGTGGACTTATCTGATAGGCGGACTTATTGTACGGATTTTAGGGTAGGTGAATTTGAAGTCTTGTTGTTTTGCATAGGATGGACCAAATCTTTGATTACTGCGAACATTGTTGGGGTAATGCCCTCACACATCTTTTGGACCCGTAATTCAGGCGTGGCTATCCCTGCACAAGCGACGCCAGCTTCGAAAAGAGTTGCAGTCAAAGGCAAGTTCGAGAACTTGTAATTTGCGCAAATAACCTCAAGTGAAGCTGCGGGTCAGAAGTTCACAGGTTTCTCAATCAAATCATCCATGATTTGAATTGCACAAATGGCCGTAAGAAGAAAAATTGTGAAATATTTATGGTTGGAAAGATTTTCCTTCTTGATGCGCAGGTCAAATAGTGTTAGCATCGATAACAATCAGAAGCCATATTAGAAACTTTAGGCTTCCCTCTACTGAACATAAAAAAGTATAGTAGTATAAAAAACCTGGTGTCAAAGTCCGACCGAGCCCCGAAAAAATGCGTTTGAAAATGAAATTTACAAAAGTGCCCGGGAACTTTCTATGAAACCTAATATTAATAAATAGATAATAATATAATAGATAAGAAAAGTGTGAGAGTGTAAATCTAATAGGGTAAGAGCATGGGTCTGTAGATACCAGATACCAGCTTATCACAAAAAAGCCATTTGGAAACATAGGTGCTAACGGAGAATTGCGCAGTAGCGAGCTACCGGTCTTCATTGCAATGGATTTGCGGATAAATAAGGCTTAAATGATCGATCTCATTCTGCTATTGTGTGTAACCATGTGAGATGAAATTTTATTTGAAACTGACAAGGAATAGATGGTTAGTCGATGTCACCTTGTAAGATGGGATAAATACGCTTGAAGGGCATGAAATATTGACTCCAAATCTGCCTTCCTTATCTGCTGCGAGTTTCTGGACAAAGAATTATGGGATTTTTTTTTCGCAAAAAGTGAATGCGCAGCTAGGAATAAAACGGTTCTAACATGTTTCTAAATCTTGAATAAAGCATTATGATTGCCTGTGTGATAAACATGCTTAATCCAAATATACACAATCGCCGCTGCCTCATTTGAACGCTGAAAAAAGTCAACGACTAATCTGGTTTGACTGATTTTACCTTCAAATTTTACCTTAATCAAAATCTTCACTACTCCTCATTCAGAAGCCCGCAGCAGATAGAGAACGCGGATTTGGAATCAGTGCCCATGCCCGTCAAGCGACATGCATCTTATCTCCGAAGGACACTTCGACTAACCATCTTTCCCTTGTGAGACAATTTCTAGACGAGATTTGGTTTCCCATCACAAGATAAACCAATAAATCTCGTATTGCGCCCATTGCAAGGTCATTTTTGCCTTCAAACACATGAATGCGATTCATTTACTTTACAAAAACCTCCTTTGAAGATTTTTTCCCTTCAAAATGACACAACAATCTTTTTCGTTTGCGTAGCCGCTGCTTCAACAATGAATATTTTCATTGGATTGTTACTAACAGTGTTTAGATGTGCAAACACAAAACTTCACAAGCCATACTCTCATTATCATCCATCATGATCATCGTGGCCTAGAGCAAGATAGGAGGAATAGGCGATAGGCGGTTATTTGCATGAAAAAATTATTTGCATAATGGCAGAGCATTATGTCACATTGTTGCACTGTTGCTTCCATCACTTAATATTTTAGTGCAATCAGAATCTCTTGGGAAAAGACGGTCTTGTTGAACTATTCAAAAAGCGCATTAAACGGCACTTAGCACATTGAACGAGGAGCAAAAACAACATTCAAATTCTTTTTTGCTAAAACTAAACACATTACAACTTTTATGGTGTTTTATACACATTTGCGTCTTTCAGCAAGTGCTCTGGGAAAAACCCTTCACGGATAAAATTTTACATAGAGCAATTGTGGGTGCTTCCATAAAGTATTTCAGATCCTATCAATGTCTAGCTTCGATTCATCATCTGTTTCTTCTTCGTTCACAAGCGGATTCGACATATTTCCTAGATTCTTCAGCTCTTTCCCAGGTTTCCCAAATTTCCCGTGTCTTACAAATTGGTACCCGGAGTTAGTAAGTGATTTATTTTTCGAAACTTAAAATTGAACTAGCGATGTATTCTAGGGGTTCCCTGACTGGGGACGACTGGCTTTCGTCTCTATTTTCGGGAAAGCTCAAGTGACCGACAACATTATTGTTGACGATAAGACGACATCACTGCGGAACACTGGTGGAAAGGAAAACAACGCTACAAACCCAAAAGGAGCTTCATACGTGCTACACACTCAAAAGGACACGACCAATGGAACAACGGTTTTGATCGTCAAGACCATTAACGGAACTGCTGTTAGGTTACTCTCAGAACCGAGATACCGGTCTCACTGGAAACAAAACCTAGAGCCAAGTGGTTCAGAGAGCACGGCAGAAGCACCAGGTACTCAATGAAACACCTGCTCCAGGTGTGGGGAACTCAACATTTGAAACCGTACAAGTCGTGGAGAACTTATTGTATATTGCTTACTTTCAAATTAATGTGATTATGTTGTATTCAAGGAGACATTTGCCGTGTTGTTTTCCTCCGCAACACAGATGAAATATCCTTGAGACTCGTTCATCAATGTTAACTTGCTTGTGAAGTTTTACATAGGCGTTTAGTCTATCTCTGCTTTGTCTCTTTGCCATAAAGCTTACGAGATACTATATGAAAAAATTTGTTTATTTTTTTGGTTCTTTACCATAAGCTGCAAGTATCTTGCCTATACTTACTTACTTACTTAGATACTTAGATGGCCCGGCTTCACGTGACGTGCGGGCCCCAGCTCAGAAGTTTCCATTTTTCCCTGTCCCTCGCTTCTGACATCCACGATCTTCTTGGCTGACGTCGGTGGCTGCGTCCACGAGTTCCAGGTGCAAAAATCGTATCCAGCTGATTTCTCAGCTGGTCCATCCGTTCCACGAACACGTCTGCCCATCTAGTTGGAGGTCTTCCTCGGGGACGTTTGGCTTCGCGAGGAATCCACTCCGATGTTCTTAGTGTCCATCTGTCGTCTGTTCTTCTCATTATGTGACCGGCCCATCGGTGTTTGGCTTTCGCGACGTATTCCGCTGGGTCACGAAGACGGGACATTCTTCTCATATCCGTGCTGCGAAGTCCGACTAGATGTTGCTTGCGTCGGGTCATCTTCAGAAGACTGCGCTCGAGCGCTCTGTGGGTGGTCCGTAAAGCTTTCGACGTGGCTACAGTGGCGGCCCAAGTCTCAGCTGCGTAACAGAGCGCCGGGAGAACGGTTGAGTCGAACAGGTGGGCACGAAGCTCCGGGTCCGTCAGTTGGTCGGTGGCTTCCTTCAGGGGCCCGAAGGCGGCCCAGGCTGCTCTTCTTCTCCTGTTAAGTTCTTCCCTCAAGTCGTTCTCCATGTTCATCGAACGTCCGAGATACACGTAGGAAGACGTCTCCATAATCGGGGTGCCTTCCAATTCCATTTCTGCATCTTCGCAAAGGGCGTTCTTCATGAACTGAGTCTTCTTCCGATTTATTCGCAGTCCGATCTTCTTCCCTACTTCGTTTAGTTCCTTCAGCATCGTCTCTGCTTCGGTGATACTGCTCGAGAAGAGAACGATGTCGTCCGCAAAACGAAGGTTGGACAGGAATCTCCCATCAACTCGTATGCCTCTCTCGTCCCAGTCCAGTGACTTCATCACCCACTGCAAGGCCGCGGTGAACAGCTTCGGCGAGATTGTGTCGCCTTGTCGGACCCCCTTCCCGATTGGTATGGTCAGGGGGCGATGGAATAGCTGCATCGTCGTTGTACAGTCCTTGTAGCAGTCGGCTAACGTCCTCACGTAAGCTGGGTCCACTCCTTGATCGACTAGCGCAGACAGGATGGCGTTGGTTTCGACGCTGTCGAAGGCTTTCTCGTAGTCGACAAAGGTTAGGACGAGAGGCAGTCGGTACTCCCGGCAGACTTCTATGACCCTCGAAACGGTCTGGATGTGGTCCATGCAGCTGAATCCTTTGCGAAATCCAGCTTGTTCTTGGGGTTGGGCTTCATCCAGTGTCCTTGATATGCGAGCGAGGATAATCTTCGTGAAATGCTTGTACAGCACACTCAGCAAGCATATTGGACGATAGTTCCGAAGATCCTCTCGTTCACCCTTCTTGAAGAGAAGGACGGTTCTTGACGTTCTCCACTGGTCGGGAATCTTCTCCTTCTGAAGGTAAGATGTCAAATGCGACGCTAGAATCTCGTGTAGACGGTGTCCTCCGGCTCGCAGAAGTTCGACGGAAAGATGATCTGGTCCTGGAGCCGTGGACGTCTTCATGGTCTGTATCGCGATACGCACTTCAGCAGGTAGAATTCGTGGTGGTACTTCTCCAGTGGGAACAACGGGCATCTGCACGGGTGTTGATGAGCGGAAGAGGTTGGTGTAGAAGTTCTTCGCGATAGATTCCATCTTGTATCGGGAAGAAGTCGGAGTCCCGTCTTCGTTCAGTAGTGCAGCCAGCGGTACGTGATATTCGCAGAGGTCCCTTCGGCACTTCTTGAGACTTCGTCTTCTTTCTGCTGCTTCCAGTATCTTGGCTTGCCTGTACTTCCTGAGATCCTCCTGCAAAGCTGTTCTGCAACTGGTGTTGGCAATCAGTCGCTCGAGATGAGTTGCATTCGGATCCTGCCTCAATGATCTTCTTCTTTCGAGCAATTCCTTGGTGGTCTTCGAGATGCGGTCCAAGTTCTTCTCAGAAGTCACTGAGGCGCATTCTCCGCAGGCTCGCAATCCTTTCAGAAGCCGGTCGTAGTCGTACGATGGGTCCTCCTCGATGGGCCAGTCACAACTTGATATGAGCTCTTCCAGCCTGTTACCGTCATAGACGACTTCCTTCCTTCTCGCGGCACTATGACAGACTTTCTTTTCCAGCCTTCGGCTGAGTCGTATCTTCGCTCGAAGGAGGCGGTGATCGGAGCCACTACAGAAGGATGGAACTACAGAGACATCGAGTAAGCTCCACCTTCGGTTGGTGAGAATGTGGTCGATCTCCGCGTGGGTCGTTCCGTTGGGCGATTCCCATGTCCACCGGCGATGTTCCTTCTTCATAAAGATGGAATTTCCATGGAAAAGTCGTGCGGCGGAGAGAAGCCCAACAAGACGGTTGCCGTTTTCGTTCCGGAGCCCATATCCAAACTTCCCGATCCTATATTCCCTTTCCAGTGGCATCCCGATTTTCGCGTTGAAGTCGCCCACAACAAACTTGTAAAAGGACTTCTCGTTGCGGACGACCTCCTCCACATCTTCGTAGAAAGCATCTAGTTCTGATTCGTCAGCTGCTGATGTTGGAGAATAGCAGTTGATGATGCTGATGGTCTTCTGATGTGGAGGTCGTAGTCGTAGGATGCCTAGTCGAGGTGATAGGATCTCGTGCGAATCGACAAGATGGACGATAGATGGGTGGACGACAAAGCCGACGCCTCCCACATTTCGTGATGGAACCTTTTCACCACGAATGATGAGAGTCCCATCACTCATCTGTCGCACGTCCTTCTTCCTGGACTTCGTTTCCTGCAGAGCAATGATGTGGTAGTTGATGTGCTCTGCAGCGTCGAGAAGAGCGTGGAGGTCGGCGTTTGTGGAGACTGTCCTGGCGTTGTAAGTGCAGAGCATGAGGCAGTCTCCATGGCGTGTCGTCCGGGCAGACGTGTCGTTTTTGTCCAATCCGAAAGGCGCCCTGAGCACCCTGACATCGTTCTTGCTACCACCCGGCGCCGTAGGCGGGATCCGATGTACAGGGTTTTTTCTAAATCTTCTTGCTGTCTGAGTAATAAAATTTGTTCCCCTACAAGAGGTGGCTTACTAGGCCTACTCTTGATTTCCACGGGGTGATCGCTGACCCCGGGCTTGGAGCGGGGAGGGACCGCCTAGCGACCAGAAGAAGCCAGACGGCGGAGAATCTGGCGCGGCCAGTTCTTAGCTAGGCATCCGGCCGAAACCGGAAACGTCGAACTCCTTCACAGCTTGGGAGGCCCTACCAGAGTATACACTCGGCTGTGCATCGCAGTTCGACACCCAGTGTCACCCCCACGCCACGATGAGGCGACCGACCATTGTGGGGGATCTTGCCTATTATCACCACGATTTGCCCAAGAGGGAAAATTGAGGTAAATTTGCAGGATACCGCCTCAAAACGTGGTCCTTACAAAGGGAGCAGATCATTACGTATGTGACCCGGCACCTAGGTGAAACTATGGGCTATAAATATTGGGTCACTTTAAAAATTCTACCCATATCCCGGCTTAGATCTGCCATATCTTTGATTTACCATATCTCTTTTCAAAAATGATTAGAATTGTGTTAGCGTCAGCAATCTTTGATAGTTCTAGAAGTGACTTACAGGGGTGTCCCAAAAAATGTGCCTATTGTTTGATTTTTCTAACTCTTATCCTGACATCTTTCAAAAGGTTTTAGGTAACTTTCTGTAGAGCTGTCTTCAATTTTGATTTACTCATGGAGCAAACCATCGATCACTTTTCAATACTAGGATTACGGTAGGAACTTCTGGCGTCACTGTGAAAATGCAGCCGTTTCAGATATTTTCAAAAAAGACGTAAAAACTCATGTGATAGGGTTTTCCTATGTTTAACACTCAACCCCGTATAAGATTTTGAGGCTTCCTAAAGAACGTAGCCACTTTTTTTAGGAACAACGAAATGACGGCTGCCACCGCTTACCTGGCATGACTTTTGAAGAAAGCATTATGATAAGATGCAAACTTCATATATAGAATCAGCAACATTGATTAGCTTATGTGAGAGTTTTTGGTCGCTTTGTTTCTTTTTTGAGACCAGATATATGGCCCTTAATGCTCAAAATCCTCACCAAAGTTCCTACTGTGATTCTACATTAATGAAGAGCGGTCGGTGATCCGCTTTACAATGTAAATCTAAGTTGAAGCCAGTTCTACGCAATGGTACCTAAAGCTTTTCGAGAGGCTTCATGGCAAGAGAGATTGATAATGAAACATACAGAGCTTATCAAATGAAGTGTTGGTCGCAGCAACTTCTCCATTCTCGCGCTGGACTCTGCGTCTCTTTCGCGGAACATGCTCTCTGAGCAACTTCCCTGGCGAGCGTGAGAAAGACGGAGCCCTAATCAACTGGAAGTGATTAGGGAGCATGATCGGCGGAAGCAGAGCCCATCGCGATGTTGGCGAACCCGACACTTCAATTGATAAGCCCTATAGGCACTTTTTTGGGACACCCTGCATATGTAATATTGCAACCTGAAGGCATGTTCAGGGAAATATGAACATGGTTTCTTGTGTGGAAACTGATGGGAGCCACTGACTTAGCCACTGCCTAAGTTCCAGAGCACTTAAATCACCCACGGCAGGGGACTCCGTCTCCAAACCCCTCGTCCCCCCACCAAGACACTTCAGCAGCCTAAACGCACATCACCGTCCCGGCGCGAAAGCATGAAGACGGGGTGCAGAAAATCGTAGTTAAGACACTGCAACTTTCCTAGCCCTTTTCTTGTGACAAGCGGCCAATTGCGAACATATGTAAGATTCTCTACTGGATCGCCAAAACCTCGAATAACACTTTTTGAATGCCATAAGAGCTAGCTGTCGCCTAGTGCTGTTTGAATAAAAAATTTCCACTCATAAGAAACTGAAAACGGAAAAATGGACACTGAAAAACATGGCGAT